CCTGAAGGATAAGTCCTTTTTTGAGACATTGTTTTGCTTACTTAACTTCTGACCAGAGCTTTGGACGTTTGGATGCTCTGCACATTGCACGGCAGCTCAAATTACCGGCGAAGCATGCGGTATACCTACTGCGGCCACCAGAGGGCACCAAGAACATTTTTTTTTCCTTTTTTATTCATATAATAATGATTTCTACGTACATTATCAAATATTTATTATTGTAAAAACAAATCACTTCGTGGTGAAATTGTGTGTTTTTGATATTATAATGACATAGAAATTATTACTTAAAAAAATCAGCTCCACTGAGGAGGCCCCTTAGTGGCCTTGGGGCCCTAAGCAGCTGCTTACTTTGCTTATCCGTTGGGCTGGGCCTGGCTCTGCATTTTGCTGGAGGTGGGGCTCCACTGGGTCTTTCTCTTCTGTTTTGCTGAACAGACCCAGAATTTATCAGTGCACAGGCCACAGAAGCTTAGAAAATGAGGAGATTCTTCTTTTCCAATCCAGACATCAGGTAGAGTCGCCAGACATTTACAACAGCCACATCCAAAAAATGAAAGAACACTCTGATGTACCACCACTTGTTTCTACATCTGCGAGGATACATTGCCACACACTGGTCAACAAGATCCACCCCACCCATGAGTTTGTTATAAAGGGCCACCAAGCAGGGTTTTTGGACCCTGATCTTGGTTTGTTCTTTCTTCAGCCGTCTTTGGGCCATGTCTTCAGAGGACTGACCAGCACAGGTCGATACCATGTGGATGACTGAGGTGTCAAGCCAACACACGACAGTGATGTTACTGTTTGTGCTGACAACAGAGCAGGCTCGTCTGCCTTCTTCTTTCAGTTGTTCTTCACTCTTAAGTTTCTGACTCGCTCCTTTCACTCTGTTTGCTCTGCATGTACCTGCCTAGGTCTTTCAAGGCCTTAAGGAGTGGAATACTGCAGAAGAAATGGTCAAAAAACACCTTGTGGTTTTTATGCTTTATGTCAAAACAAAGGCGCATCACTACATCTCCAGCCATTTCCAAACCACTGCTCAGACCCCTAATTGCTGAGCCCTGGTACACTTCAAATCTGTACATACATTTGAGGACGCTGTCCTGATCCATACTTTCACTCCCCAGGGTTTGGGCTTTTTTGGTATGTATTGCTTGATTGACAGTTGGCCTTTGAAGGGAAGATTTGCTCATCAGTTGATTGGAATTCTTCAGGGTTTACTGCCGCCAGGAATGTTTTCTGAAGTGTACTTAGCACTGGTGCTATTTTGAAGAGCCTGTCTGTGTTTGCTGGCTGGTAAGTATAGTTATCCACAAAGTGCAGATAACTCAGAATTTGCTCATATGTGTTTACAGACATAGCATCTGCAATTATTCCAAGACGAAGCCAATCTTCACTGGACCAGTACATCCGTGTCCTAGGATACTGAATGTACCCCATGACCACGTTGATTCCTAGAAAAATTTGCATTTCTTCACTTGTCACTGCCAAATTTTCTTTCCCTTTCTGCGGAGCATACATGTTGGTGTTATGCACTATCTCATCAATGAGATCTAAGGGAAACAAATACCTAAAGAAATCAATTGCTTCTCTAACGTCAACATTTACTCTCCTGTCTCCTAGAAAAGATGGCAGGTCTCCATCAAAGTTATTGTTTTGGACCTTACCTTCCAGACATATTTGCAGGGTTGAGAGCTGACATGACCCTTGTGAACATTTCTCTGAGCAAGTACCGTGTGAACATTTTCCTCAGCTCCCTCATCATGCTGACCTCCCTTTGTATCCTGTTTTTCATCATCCTGGCCCTCATCATCTTGACTTTCAGCATCCTGACTGTCGGCATCTCCTTCATCATCCACAACTATGTTTCCAGTGTTCATCATTGCTGTCACTATATTCGTCATCAGAGGGAATTTCCTCGACTATTTTTTAGTGTTCCTTATTCTTTGCTGCACTTGCGGCCTAAAAGTATGAGAAAATTATAGTTTTACGAACACAAACTACAACTGATCTGCATAAAAATTATATATTTTTAAAACTAACTTATAGATATACTCAAAATGAATTTAATTGCAAGCAAAACAGTCATAATGAAAGGTAAATCAACTACATGACTGATGTTAAAAATATAGTCAGCAATGCATGCCGTCCACTATGTTGGACACATGGTTAATCACAATCTCCTACTTATGTGGAATAAAATTTTCCAAACTAAGTTAATAATGTTACTTAGATACTCCTGCATATCAGCATTTTTTTTACCTCTAGGATTCTCCTAGAATAGAAGAACTGAGAGGATATTCCAGGAGTGGTCATTGAATGTGTACTCCAATGACATTCACTTGTAGTGACAACAAGTGAATGGGGGCATGCTGGACCTTTCCAAGATTGGGGGGGAGAGGGTCCTGACCCCCCTGGGATTTACATCCATAACAATGATGCCAAAGTTATTTTTGATAAAAATGTGCACTTAGTACCTCTTTACAATTGTACTTTAGTTACTTTGTGATGAGCAAAACAAAGTTCAGCTCATCACAAAGGAAATGAGGACATGTTGGTGTTAAGCTATATTTATGTAAAGGAGCACATTTATAAATAAAAAAGCAACAGAAAATATTATGTGTATTTTAATGGGACATTGATTTCCAATATATTATGTCAGCTGCTGTTTGTTACTCCCATCTAATAGTTTTAAATAAACGACTCCAAACCCGATTTTCTGTTGTCAGTTTTAGTCAATACAAATTATAATCACAAGTACCTGATAAAATTGACATTTTCATTTGTTGTTAAAATATTATTCAAGTATACAATGTATGATAAACCTGCTGCCTATGCTTACAGTTAAACCGATGCATTAAATTCAGCAAGGGCTTTTCTTTTTCTCAGAAGATAACTTGACAGGTTTTCCTTGCTCCTCTGTCTTCTCATTGATGCAACACTATAAGAACCCAGCCAAAAGATCAATGCCATTTTTTCTGCCATTTTCTTTTTTTATCTTTACTCTGTAGAGTAAAGATAAAGTAATCTTTACATTAATGGATATGATTTCAAATGTAACTGAGTAACTTTATTCAAAACAAATTCAAGGAAAAGTAAAAGTTCAGCTTTTGTAAACATCTTAAAGGACAAATTAGACAAATTGTAATTACACTAATAAATGTAAATGTAACTTACTACTTTACACCCCGTATGGCAGAACCAAAATACATATTTTTTTCCACATTGTGAAGTGCTTCTACTTTCTGCATTATTCATACAGGTAGCCTGTAATACAGTAAAATATTTATGATTTTACTTGTTTTGGTTCGCACAATGTGTGAGGATTTGGTTTTTCTGTGTGTTTATTTAGGTTTCTGTGTTCAGTTGAGTCTCCCTGTTTTCTTGCCTACCCCTTGATTGTCTCCAGCTGTCTTTTGTTTCCCCATAATTACTCCCTGGTGTATTTAACTCCACCTGTGTCTGTGTTTGCCTGTCGGGTTCTTGTCGTTTGTCTATCCGGTCTGAAGTTGTATTTATTGCCAGTTGTCTCACTTGCTACCAGAGTGAGAATCTTTGCTGTTGCTTGACTGTGCTGCCTGGAAAATTGTACCAGTTGCTACCAGTTCACCTCTGTTTTTAGTTTTGTTTTTTAAACATTTAGACATTTATAATTCTGAGTATATGTTTAATTCTTTTTGTCTCCTTGCTTTAGCTGTCCGGAGGAGCCAGCAGCTGTATCCTGGCTGATGGCATGACTCGTGGTCCTGTGGTCAGACTCCCATCTGCCTGCAAGGCTGCCGAGGTCAAGGCCTGGCTGGAGAGTCCAGATGGCTTTCAGGACATCTCAGAGGCTTTTGACAACAGCAGCAGGTAAACCGCTTGGTGTAGCTGTACAGACTCACTACATAAACTGTGTTTAAGACCAATACCAGTAAAAACTTCTTCTTGTCTTCTACAAATAATTTATGATTTTTGCATTTATTATTGGCAGATTTGCTCGGCTACAAAAATTGCTGGTTGGTCTGGCTGGGAGAAATCTTTACATACGCTTCCAGTGCAGGACAGGAGATGCTATGGGAATGAATATGATCTCTAAGGTAACCATGAGAAAATAGTCTTCAACATATCAACTGTACTTATCAATTTATATAAATGTACTGTAAGCAACCTTTGTTTTAAAGAAAACTTGATTGTCTGCAGGGCACAGAAAAGGCTCTGAGCAGGCTGCAGCAGCACTTCCCTGAGCTGCAGGTAGTGGCAGTCAGTGGGAACTACTGTACAGACAAGAAACCTGCTGCTATCAACTGGATTGAAGGCAGGGGCAAGTCTGCTGTCTGTGAAGCTACAATCTCTGCAAAGGTGGTCCAAGAGGTAAGAGGAGTCAGGCCTACAAGTCAGGCCTACTCTTTACACAAAACTACTATGAAGGTTCTACTTTGCTTTCCCATTTTATTATGCTTTCTTCACATCATGTGCATACAGTTCAATAAATTATTTTCATTGTTTTAGTAGCATGGTTTTATGTTATGCTACATATACTTATAGAGGGTTATTTTTTCCTTTCACTACTTGTCCCACCACAGGGGCATGTCAGACAAAATATATATAAAATTTTGGATGGACCCTGAACTTTAGGTAAAGCTTTGTGATAAAAAGGCAAACATATTTGTATCTTCTTTTACCTAAGTTTTATAACTTGATTATTCTACATTTATTTTCAAAGATAATATTTAAATCTTGTCTTTAAAGCTGCTGTATGGCAACAAAAAATAAAATGAGTCCTCTCCATCCCTTCCCTCACTTCAGGGTCATATTGAGGGGCACTCTTAAATAAAAAAATCCAATGACCTTCATGATCTTAAAATCCTCAAAGTAATTATATAAAGAATACAACTTTGTCCAAAGTCTATTTAAAATTGTTTCAGATCAATCTTTGATTTCAGTCCAGTAAATTCCTATCATTTGTTCAGATTGTTTATATAGAGTCGAATTCAGTCCAGCTATAAGTAAGTAGGTAAAATTTTATTTGTATAGGACTTTTCACTGATAAAATTACAAAGTGTGCCACTGAGGGTGGCAGCATGTTGGAGTAGTTCTGTGGTTTCATTGAGATTTTGTCTTTTTTAGGCCCAAGCAGCAAAGCCCTGCGAAGGCCTATTGTAATCGTACTGTTTCTTCTTATTGTGCTTCTGCCAAATTAATTGGCTTTTTGGGGGCTTTATTAATTCAAAAACTCACCAAACTTGGCAGACGCATCAAGTCTGCGTGAAAATTACGTATTTTAAGGTCCTCGCAAAAATCACACAAGAAACGGCTCATCAGCGCCACCTGTTGTCATAGTGCAAGTCAAACAGGAAGTCGGCCATTTTGGATTTAAGTTCTGATTTTGATCCCATTTTGGCCGTTTACAGCCTTCGCATTTGATCAAACTCCTCCTAGGGATTTCAATTGATCAGCTTCAAACTTGGTCTGTTCGTTCATAAGGCATGGCCGATTAAAAGTTGTCAAAACTGAGTTTTTGTGCATGCTGAAGGGGTGTTATCAGGGGTCAAAGTTCACCTACTCGCCATGAAACACGAAACTGTTATCTCCTACACAAAAACTCAGAGGCACCAAACTTTCAGTAATTGATCATCTGGTGACCTACAATGCCTAATGGTCAAATGATGACATCACTTAGGCCACGCCCCCTGAGAACAGGAAGTGTCATGTTTTACTGTGACCCCTTTGACTTAATCAACATGAAACTGTGTCCAGAGACAGAAGACATGTTGGTGAGAAGTGGATTCCAACCCTGACCGGTATCAATGAAGTGGGTGGGCGTGGCGAGGTGACCTGTAACGCTGTTGCGATGCGTTTGGCTTTAAATTCCACAGTTTGAGCCGAGCTGCACCAAACTCACTAAGATTGATCTTTATCCACCCTCTGACAGGAATCCATAACAAACTTTGGTGGGTGTGGCCTAATTTATCTACAGCGCCCCTTATAATATTTTAAATGATCAGCCCCAAGCTATGCTTTAACCTAGAATAATGAAACTTGGTACACATGTGTACCAAGGGCATATCAAGACATACAAAATTTTTTCTTGGAGCAATAGTCCAAACCCAACAGGAAGTCGGCCATTTTGGATCAAAGCCGTCTTTTTCATTTTTATAGACGTATCTGATTGAACCCGTCCTACAGTTTTTAAGATGCAGACTTCAGAATTACTCAGCACACTCTTGAGGCATTGAAGGTAAAAAGTTATCAAAAGATTTCTCGTACATCAAAGCATGTGGCCGTGGCTAAGTGTCAAACTTTGACTATTTGCCATGAAACATCAAGGTTCAATAACTTCCACATGCAAGGTCACAGCTGCATCAGACTTTGTATGTCTCACTATTGACCAGTCTTGATCACATTCTCATGTTCAATTGATATCACCTTAGCCCCACCCACTTCTGACAGGAAGTCACCTGTTTTTTCAACTGTATTTTACTTTTACTCTGATTCAGATGGGTTTAATCCTGTGCCATCTGACATAACTTCTCGGTGTAGAAGGAGCCGCTTGCAGCTTTAATTTTTTTTTTTTATCATTATTTTCAAACATTAATTACTGCTTTTTTGGAGAAAAAAATATTTTTTGGACAGCTGTTTCTTTTTTTGAATGCTGTGGTTTGACTGATTTTTGGCAATATTTTTCATATTTTTGTTATGATGCATAACTATAGCAACAGAGTGGTTTACAACAGAGAGCAGTTGATCAACATTTTAAAAGCTGACATAATACCACAGCTGTAGCCAGAAATCCCAGAGAAGTTGAAATGGAGGCATCA